CCCCCCCCCAACCCCCTCTCCCTTTTCCACATACACGCAATAATATACATACCTGTACACAATAGTAAGTCAACAGCACACACGGATAAACTATCACAATACTCGTTTGCCTCTTAGTACAAGTACTTTTTTTCAGTTAAAAGTACAACAGAGTCAAAAGCCAGCAAACACTGAACGAAGAAATAAACAAACAAATAAACAAACAAACAAACAAGCAAACAAACAACAAGAACCTCAGACAATAGAAATCAGAGCAAGAAACCCCCCATGGCGTCGTTTCGAATTGAGCCCCGCCCACACGCTCTGATCAAAGACACAGCTGATGGGGGTGAGGGGCCTGTTTGCCTTGCAGAGATCCCTTTAAGGCTGAATCTGACCTTGACCCGAGTGACCTCGGAGACAGAGGTCATGGCCAGGTTCACCTGCACGGTCTCCAAGCCAGACTTGCGGGTGTCCTGGTACCGGGAGGAGGAGAAGCTCCTGGCCTCGGACAAGTACGAGGTCATCGACGAGGGTCGTGTGCATAAATTACTGGTGCATGATCTTTGCCCCGCTGATTACGACGACTACCTGGTGGTGATTGGTTCCCGCCGCTTCACAGGCATGAGCCTCAAGGAAGGTTTGTGCATGTCTGTGTCTTAACGGGGCAGCCCTACTCTCCTACGATCTTTCCTCATACATATTATGTGACAATGTTATTATAGAAAATAGGCTGGTCTCTGGTTGGGTTCTGTATGTCACAATTACAGGTAGATATCTGGTTGGATAACTGGTATGTCACAATATAGAAAGATCTATGATTGGGTAACTGTATGCCACAATAAAGATAGATCTATGGTAGATAAATGTTATGTCCCAATCTAGATGGATATATGGTTGGATAACTGTTCTTCAATATAATATAGGTCTATGGTTGGATAACTGTATCTCACAATATAGATAGATCTCTGGTTGGGTAACTGTATGCCACAATATAGAGAGGTCTATTGTTGAGTAACTGAGTGCCAAAATATACAGATAGATCCCTGGTAGATTCATAATCGCTGATTGGAGACATTAATACCGACAGTTTTGGATGTTGAAATTGGGTCTGGTATGGTCTCGTGGGTGAGCTTTTTTCAGTGGGTTACTTTGGTCGTCTTTCTGAGACTAATATTTATTGAGTTTTGTTATAGAAGTAGGGGTACTGTGGCAGCTCTTATATCTCATACTTCGGGGATGAAAGATCAAGAAAAAGGACAGTGTGACGATTTCTAAAAATAGTGAGCAAACAATGTCCGTTTACACTCTGTACTTGTTTATCAATGTCAAAAAAGAGGGAGGGGGGGAGAGAGATGTGGGGAAGGAGGTGGAGTTTCA